TAATTTAATTATTTCATTAAAATAATCTCCAAAGACTGCGTGGTCTGCAGTCTGCTACTCTATTTAATAATACTATCGTGGGTGTTAAGAGTTTATATAGAATTGATTCAATAAATAGTATAATCTGTTAAATGTTGCTGGTTTTTATGCTGTAGTATATACTATGTACGATTGTTTTAATACTTTTTTCTTTTTTCATATAATCTTCTAGAATACTAAATATTTCCAATATATTTATTTCTTTATTTTAAAACAACTTCTTTTAAACAATCTTTTTGGAAGAGAAAATATAACGAGGCCTAAGACTATATTTAATACTGTAAAAACAGAAGTTACAATTATAAAATAAAAATTACTTTGCGCTTCTAAAATATTCGATAAAATACACGCTTAAGAGAGCAACTGGAATCGTAGACGTGACAGTCGAAGGCAATTCGATTGTCGCCTGTCGCCATTGGGGGGTAACATAAAATTTTATAATTTTAGCTAGTGAAATTCACGAAATTAGCTATGTAACTTACTTCATTTTTTATACTTTTAATGACAATATTTCTTTGAATAAACGTTGTTTTTTTTTTCTTCATTATTGAATAAATCATTGAAAGTATTTAATATAGCTAGCTTAAAGCTTTTCTCTATGCGAAAATTGTCTAGAAAATTTGCATTTAATATTGAATAATGTAAAACTGACAGTTTCTTGATATCTTGATTTTATTTAAAGTATTTACATTCTTTATAATCATATTGCAATCTGTCTAATAGGGTTTAATAACAATACAAAATTGCGATTTGTTTATAAAAATAATATTACTCTTAGGTTCATACCGGTTAAATGGATCTACCGGAGACATTTCATCCGCGCCGTCCGCTTTAAACAGTACAAATAGCCTTAAAATTTAATCGCTTTCCGCAAAGATTTCTCCATGAAAAGTTTTCCACTTCAAACTTTGCCACTTCGCCGAAGCCAAGGCGCGTTTAACAAAGCTTTTTCATACTTACATTTTTATATCAGGAATGGAACGTCACGCTCGGTTTCATCGGCAGTCGTCCGCCCGACCGCGAAAAGAACGCACATAGACCGGTAATAGGTGGCGAGTTATCCCGTATTCAAGTCACGTTTAGAATTCCTTATATTTCATCTTTTTCTACGGCCCCGAAAAATGTCATCGAATACACATTTTGGCGTAATCCTCATAAGTCTCATGGCCTCGGCAATGGGTGGTGCTGCTCCCCACCACGTGATACGGTCCCCTCGCGCCGCCCGCCGCGCACCTGCAACCAACAAGTTCACACTATGCTATGACGTGACTCGCATTATGAACCGGCTAAGAACTATGACATGCCAATATTCGATTAATAGTCTACTGTATTAATTTATCCTTCGATTAACACAGTCTTTGACAAAAACAAAACATTTACCATTTAATTTAAGCTACTTTGTATATAAGTTTTGTAATAAACCTTAAAAAAATAACTTACTGAATATACGAACGTGTGTTATCTCTGTATATTTTAATATCCCTAAAATAACATTAACTTGAAGTAGTAGAATACGGTAATACATCGTATTTTTTTACAATCTGCTAAGTTTACGATGTCTGATTTTAAAATAAAAATAGGTACATAAAATTTCTTACTTTTATTACATACTTATTTTTATTACATGGAAAAATGATTGGACGTAGAAAAATCTAATTTGGTAAATAAGTTTTAAAAGTAGTCTAGCCTACTCGTGACGGAAGCTACGGAAATTCATATTAGTTTTGAATAGAAAGAAACGAGTCCGGTACCTCAATTATGCTAAGTAGAGAACTTCTTTCACTATCCATTCTATTATTCAAATAAAGGAAATATCAAACACATCAGTTAAAATTCCTTCAAAAAAGTATAAAATTTCTTATAAAGTTACCAAGAAAAAGTTTTAATTGCCTACGAAGTGTGTGGGCGTTGTGCTAACCTAGACAGATTCGAGCGCGTGTTAGGATTTAAGGTTCAATCCAGCCCCCGTTATCGGGTGCAGGAACATGCACCTAGCGAGCATAGTCGGAAGTTTCTACAACAGTCCAACTTGTTTGGAAGCTTGGGAAGTTTATCAGATGTATACGTGCGCAGCGATTACCTGGAGATACTAGCGGTGACATGCATCAGCAGTATGCTTTATACCGTAGTTTGTCTACAATCTAAACTCGCTCTAGCTACAAATTATGTAACGTGTAACGTTTCGAGTTTGAATTTGGAGCGTAAGCGTGTGTTTACTAATTTTTTTTTTATTAAAATATTTGAATTTTTGACCAAAGATAGCTCTTAACAATAAGGTTACCAACAAGGTAACCTTAGTCACGTATACATTGTTTAGTTTGCATGAATTCTTTTATAATTACATATAATATAACAAATGAAGCATATCTATCTGTCCCGCATTCTATCAACTATCCACTATATTGAGTAATGACGTTATATAATATGTAATATGTATACGGGTGACTCGGAATCATTCCTTATGGTAGTATGAGGAGCAGGCCTATTTTCAGCAATGGATAAACACCGGCTAAAATGATAATGATAGAATATTTTTATTGCAATATATATACATAAATAATCTAAACTATATAGTATGTGGCGAAAATGCACATAAGTACCTATTAATTTTTTTTTACAATTTCATACTTTTCAAAATATATATTATTCATTAAATTTCTCAACACAGAAATGTCAATAAAGTTATTATACATTTTTGTTATACGGAAATATGTAATACTTATAAGTAATTGTCTATTTTATCTAAATCTACTTGTATATATAAATATATTTGTATAGAAACGTCTCGCCACTTATACTAAACTGATAAATAAGATAACCGTGTAAAAGCTAAGCGGATTAGTTAGCAACACGAATGCATGAAAGCGTTGCAGTCCGCCTTGTTCCAGCTGAGTCGGATTCTTGTAGGTAATTAACGGTTGCTATAAATTAGCAGGCGTCCAGCAACCGGGCAGTATTCGGACGCCGGCGCCCCCGAGACTCATTGCGGATGCGGGCCACGGGCCGGCGCCGAAGATGCGGCGTCCAAACATTGTCACTACGCCGCAACTCCAGCTGTGCCCACTAGTTAGTGTCTCGATACACAACGTGTTGAAATATTGTCACTGCCCAATACCCCAGACTTCATAGATAAGCGGTATTGTTCACTCATTATTTATAGGCATGTTCACTTCGATACTGGAACAGTTAAGGAATATACTTGATTTGCATTAAATAATAGTGATTTGATAACTAATAACGAGTATTTTAAAGTAATTTTACAATTTCTAATAAAAAAATAATAATAATGAAGGTATTAATATAATATTGTCAATGCGTAATACGCCAGATTTTATAGATAAGCGGTATTCATTCATTATTAATAGGGATGTTCACTTCGATATTGGAACAATTAAGGAATATTCTTGATTTGCATTAAATAATAGTGACTATATAATATGTATGAGTCTTTTAAAAGCAATTATAGTATTTCTAATAAAAACAATAATGACCTTTATTATTGATATAATATTGGCACTATCCAATACCCCAAACTTCATTCATAAGGGGTACTGTTGTGTATTCACTTATTATTTATGAGCTCGTTCACTCTTGAACTGAAACTAATTATGCGTGATTTGTTTAAAAGTTAACAAAGTGGTTGCTCATTGATAAGAGTATTATAAAAGCAACTTTAAGGTTATAGAACAATAACAATAAAGAAATAACACAAAATTGAGGTAGAAAAAGAAAGTAATATTTATGCTAAAATGTCAAATAAATATAATATAATTTAATAAAAATAGACATGAAATCTATAAAATTTTATACACAATTAGATAATATTACGAATTCTTATGAGATTACATACTAAAATATTGAGAAAGTAGTGTACCGGAAGTTTTAAATTACTCATAGATGTGATAAATTTTTACTTCTTTAAATAGTATAAAAAGTAGTAAAATCTCATATGTCTGTTTGGCCACCTACTTCTTTTAAATTACTCGACAAAGCGCACGCTTAATAATAAATAGAAATAACTCAAAAATTGGGAAAATCTAGTTTTTATAATAAAACATAATAATAATGCGAAAAGAATAGGTAGAGTTCGACAGCCTTTCAATTTTCATGAATAAGACGGAGATAAAAGATCGATCGCCTCTTTCATTCCAAACGGGTTGGCAATGTTGTCTGTCAAAAAGCGATGCATTTAGTGATGAATCAATCTTGGTAAAAAGTAGACGTACGTTTTTGTGGCATAAAGTAGAATATTGCTGTTTACAATTAAAACGTGAGTATATTATTCATATTTTTTTAATAATAAAATGCAATATTTCAATTTAATTCTATTTAATATTTAAAATTGTGGTATTGTCAAATGCATAATCTGTACTTATTTCAGTTTAGTTTTAAATTGTTTCAGTGGTTTAAGAAGTAACTTGAGTTATTTCAGTTTATTTTTAAAATTCTATCGTATTTTTTGTAACATTAAAACCTATTTCAGTTTATTATCAAAATGTGGTAAGAGTTGGGTTAAATTTTTGTTTTTATCTCAGTTTATTATTAATAGCAAAGTAAATTTAATTGATGTTATTGTAAGTTATTGCTTTTTCTGATTATCTAGGCTCTGCGACTATGCGAAAATGTTTTGAAGAGGCCGAAAGATTTTAGGTCTACTAAATATCCCAGCAATCGAAAATGAGGAAGAATTAGTGTCAAGTGTTGGACATTGATTCAGATTTATTGGTAAGGCACTTACTGTGTCCTTCCTTATTACTATTTGCAAACATAGGTAAGCGCAAACCTAATCAACGGTTGTTTCAGAATTCACAAGATCAAGATAATACCTCGTTAAACAAAGAAAATATTAATCATTCGAACGAAAACTTTGATATGATATTAAGTTATTTAGAAGTGAGTACTATGTTACATTTTCAATTATTATTTTAATTAGTTTCACAAGTTTGTATGAAAACAAAGGAGATCCGTTTTAATGATTATTTACTTTCTACAAAAACCAATTTCGGTTGAAATTAAGAGCAATATTAGTACCAAATATGACCAGCCTCTTTCTATAACAAAAAGTCAAAAATGTTTTCCTTTGAACCTTGTATCTGATTATGATAATCAGTCGTGCATAGAAGACGAGAAGACAGTCGCAAATACTGCGCGTCGTTCATCTACCAGTTTGATTTCTTCTTCAAATTTGTTTGGATCCTCTTCAAATTCAGACAGTTTAACGTCATCCAACAAATCTGGACGAACAGAAGGAAGTTCTGTTTATTTCCAAGTACTTAGACCTAACCAGATTGCGAATGTTTCTTCTGTAGAATCGAGCCAAGACGACATTATTGAGAATACGCCGATGACAGATCAGTTAAAATACAGCAGAGACAAAGTAATTTTCAGTTTATTTTCGACTTATTTATCTTTTATTATATTTCTCTAAGTTTTTTTATTTATTTGCCCTTTCATTTCTTTGCAGCTACAACTTGCAATTAATTCTGCCTTACATAAGCGTAGATGCTGCCTTAATAACAATTTGGGGACAATATCTCCAATATACACTGATGAGAGTGATGTAGATGACGATGTCGCAGATCCAACATTTGTTTCCGAAGATCAACTTACTGAAAGCTGTAGAAGGAGGTTTAAATTAGTCCCGGCAACCTCTAGTTCTTCAGATTCCGAGCCTGAAGTTGAGATTGAGCAAAAAGGTCGTAAACGAACCCAGTGTCTACAAAAATGGAAACAAAATAAGGCAAAACAATTGAGAAATCTTGGAGAAAAATATGTATTCCTTTCTAAAACTAAAAAGTCGATGCCAAGCTGTTGTCTTAAAATACCATGTGAAGAGAAATGCCACTTAAAATGTTTTCAAAATATTAACACTGAGGAAAGATATAAGATATTTCGTAATTTCTGGAAATTAGGTGATTTAGGTGAGCAAAGAGCTTTTATCAATTAGTCTATGGTTGACCTGATGCCCAAGTATGCAGAAATGCATAAAATGAATAAACACAAATGCAGAAAAGCCAAGAGCTCCAAACAAGGCCCACTACTTAACCTCAAAGAATGTCAGGATTAGAGTCTGCAAATTATTTTTCAAAAGCACTCTAGATGTGACTGACCGCATGATACGTACAATCCAACATAAAAAAGATAGTACTGGAATAGTGCAAGGAGACCTTCGAGGAAAGCATGGGAACCACAGGCAATTGAATAAGGAATTATAGTAATATAAGGAAGCATATAGATTCCATTCCTCGGATTGAGCCGTATTATGTTCTTCAAGGCAGTATATTGACACAATTTTAATGTCAATACAGGAAGAGTATCAGTAAACTGGAATGACATAAAACAGATAAAAGTTTCTAAGGAGAATCCATTTACAACTTATTACAAAACATCTTACGAACAAAAGACCTGTCAGGAAATCGATATAAGGAACAAACGAAAGAAGATGCCACCCATTAATTTAATCTCTCTTGAAAAAGCATATACTGAAAAGCAAGAGTTAAGTGATAATAAGAAGAAAGACTTACGGGAACTTCTCAATAAAGGTCTTATTCCTCCATATTATTATCAAAACTTCAACAATACTACTTTGTCTGATTAAGTTAAAACCTATACTAATTTTTCATAGTGATTTTATATTATTAAGTACTACGGTATAAAAGGGATTTTTTTTTAAGTTTTTGATTATTAGAGTTCTTTATTTTTTTGTTTGTTTTAGAAGTCGATTTTGTTTTAAGCTCTAGATCTCAATTATTCCAAAGTATAGGTTAAATAAAAAGTACCTTAGTACGTTATTTGTGTAGTCCTAATTTCACTAAGGCTCATTTTATTTGATTTATTGAACATGATGATGATTATTATATTTAAGTATTAAGATTAACGTGATGATCTCTACCTTACTCAATGTGTATTAAACAAGGCTGTTTTAGTTTATGCTAGAAGTTCCTACTTATGTTATTTTCATATTTTTTGTTACTAGTTTGTAAGTCTATAGGTGCAAAACTTCAAGACTGAAAGTTTATGTTGATTAAATAGTATCCAAGCCAAGTCGTAGTTTTGTTTTTCACTGTTTTTTTTATAACATTTTACTAAATAATTCTGTGAATACAGAATTTATTTCAGATTAAATTTATGTTTTTAAAAGTAGCATAAATAAAAAAAGAAAATATTTTGATATAAATTTCAGTAGTCGTATACTTACAGATCAAAAGAGAAATAACACTCATAGCTACCAATGATTTAATTTTTCTTTTAAAATAAAAGAGAACTATTTAGTTAAGTGCCATAGCTTATATGTGTTTGATTACTTTGTTTTTGTAATAAACTGAAATAAGTCGCAGGCTTTTTTTTCTTTTCAGTTTTTTTCGGGGTTTCCAATTTTGTAAAATGGTAATTGCTATACCAAATTGAAGGTCGATATCTCTACTTTTAGATTAATTTCTTTTATTTTGAGAAATATGACAATTTTTTACCTTTTTTTCATATTTAGTGCAACGAGTCAAACTTGCAAAACTTAAAACGTAATTTCCCAACATTTCAAATTTTTGAGTTATTTCTCTTTATTATTAAGCGTGCGAAAGATACGGGTTTACACTATTACAAAATAAAAATAAATAAACTTATGTTTTTTTTTTACAAACGATTTGTGTGTCGTAATTAAATTTATTTATTAAGCCAGGATAAATCGCTAATTATATTATACAGAAAAAAATCATAATCGTTAGTATGTTTTAAAGGAGTTTTCTACTCGTGAAAATAAATATTTTTGTCAAAGACTAGAAATGAGTAGAAAAACAACAAGAATTTTAAGCCTCCCATACTAAGTATATGCTTAAAATATTTTTGTTTCAATTTAGATTTACCTAACTTTTATCCTATTATAATTTGTATAGTTTAGGAACATATATAATAGTTTTGGTTTCACTCTGTATTAATTGTAATTATAAAGAGAGTTGAAAGTATTAAAACCAGATAATATCCAATTATTACGTAGTATACCTGCGGGAGTATGAGTTTCTAACATTTGTTTATTTAATGAAAACTATGTTCGGCAAGCCAACAGCATTTGAAATAACAAGGAAGTTCTAGCATTATTCAGTACTGAATTATACACGAGCTGTAAAATACAACCGACATTATCGGTAACCCAGAATAGATTAACATAAAATATTTCTCTGATATATCTTTGTGCTTACCTAATAATGCAATACAAAAACATAATTTACAAATACCTATAAAATCTCTTCGCTGTATATAAATTTTGTGACGTTATCGGTTAAAGCATCATCGCTCCCTTTGTCAATATAAATTATGCAATTAAACTTTCCAAAGATGAAATTTGCCAAGAATGCTTCTTATTTGTCGGTGTGGTCCCTTTCAGCCGCAACTAATTAATATGCACAATGTGTATCGAGCTGAACACTAGGAAAAGTTAAGCTATTTACGGGAACTTTGATTAAGACTTTATATTCATAAAGCACATTTAATTATTATGTTAACGAAACCTTCTTTTGAATAAAATATTAGACGTGATCTGTCAAAGGGAATTAAATCTTCATTAAATATAGGACCTGAAGAATATAATAAAAAAGTGTCAAGTTAACGAATATAGAAATTTGTACGTGGTGGGGTGTAAAAATATCAGGACATACTTTCATTCCCTAACAAGTACATATAGATATAAAAAATGCATTTTATTCAGGCAAAAGTAGTAAAATACGAACGAATGTTTTGTTTTTAGTACTACAGAGGTCTCTGGGAAGTGTTTTCCGTGTTAAATTATGCAGAAATCAATTCCTTTACCCGGACGAGCGAGGGCTCGCTTTCTCTCTGATAAATAATACATCTGTAATTGTAACCCAGCCTCTTGGACTTGTGAACGTTCACGGATATGATACCTGCGTATATATGGCTAAGTTGAGTGATTATTTGTTAAATATGTGCTTACTTATTTACATTCGTTAATTAAATTTCGTACTTTAATAACTTTATCACGATTGAAATTTTTTTATGTGTAACAAAATGTTAAATTATTTTGTATTATAATATTATATAATATTTAAATTAATACATGCGAACAAACTGTAAGTCAGAACAAAAATAATGTTATAAATATCAACAATACTTTTCTTATACCATAGTTAAAAATATACTATGCCGCTCAATATATGAAAAATGTACATATTCAATTTAAAAAGTATTTATTCATATAGGTAGATAGATTTACCATATATACTTGTAGGCATATCACTTTTTTTAATCTATTACTTAATTCGACCAGTTTCAACCATGAAACGACTGAAAAATGAAGAGAAATTAAACAAACTCAAATTAATTGACAAATTTCAGGTAACACAAAGTTATTACAAATGACCATTATAAAATGCAAAAATAAAAATTTACTATAATATAAATAACAAAATTTGATTTATCTGATACCACTAAATCAGATTAGTTCCTACCCTAAAAGGTTTAAGTTCACAAAGTTACTAAGAAATACAGCCTCGGTGTTTAATTTTCACCTAACTGTTTATTTCGATTCGATTCTAGAATTATTTCAATAATTTTCTTCCTATATGAATAAACACCTCCGTATGGGGAAGGCCTATATTCAACAGTGGTCAGTAAACGCCTAATTTGATGACGATTATGATAATGATGAATATACATTATGAATTCACTGTTTTAAAAATACAAACCCTACCATGACCATGACATGACAAACGAAACGAACATCGTAATATTGGAAACAAAAAAAATCGGGTTTACCTGTAATCGTTAAATCCCGATCGTGAATTTAAAATATGTGTAAACAACGCCAAAGTTTAAAGTAAATCGTTAACTGCCCACAGCTGAACATATGCGTCCCCCTATTGGAGTGTTTTGCCAGTAGTTACCAGAGGGAGACTTTGTACGAAAGTCGATTGCGTGGGTACCTCTGTCCCATTCGTGTTTCAACCGTGAAGCAGTTGTGTTTGCATGGCTGTGTTTCGGTTTGAAGGGTGGGATATGGCGTGAATTTACTGGGTACAGAGGAATAACACCTGAGTCCTCAGGAATGGCAACGCATGGGGGGTATCATGGGCGAAACAGTATACTCTGTTATGTCCATGGTACTGCTCATGTCTATAGGCGACGGTTACCACTTTCCATCAGGTGGGCCGTCAGCTTGTTTGACATTCTAAGTTGTATAAAAAAAAAAAAAAAAACGCTTGTCAGGCGAGTTGGCAACAAGAGTTAGGCTTCTGGTGATGTTTTAAAAGGGACGCTACTGTCCATCCCTTCACCATCCAACCGTATGAAAATTGTCAATTTATTTTTGTTTTTTTTTTAAACGAAATCTCAAATTAGGAGGTAAATATTTTCAATTTTCTCATGTTAACATATAACGTAAATAAGCACCATAGTATGTCGATCAAGGGTATTATCCGTACACGAGTTGCTCAATATATTATCGTGTTAAGCTCGTAATGTCTAGAGCACTTAGCATCGAATCTTCTCGATACCGTTTCGCACGAGACTATCGTGTAAGGACTTATATATATTATATTGTATATACGAGTAGGTATATAGTATTGACAACTATATGCTTCGGAAGTTTGTGGGCATTCCTCGTTGTGTGATTCTAAGAACATATTTGATGTATTCATAAATGCAACTTGAATGCAAGTCTATAAGGATTTTTTTTAGTTTCATAAATAAAACAATGAATATTTTAGATTATACTGCGCAAAATAATTTGCATTGTGCAACTTAAGAATTCTATCTACTTTTAATTTTTAAATGGTTTTAAAAAAAGAAGTAGACTCCATTATGCGTTTATTTTATGTCACCTAAAAACGGCGCTGGTAGAAGAGGAGGGCAACAATAATAAAATAATATTAAGAGAGGGTTACCAGTATATTTTCTTAAAACAAGCACACAATACAACAATAATATCTCAATCAAGAAGAAAAATAAAAATTGATATCAAAAGACATATTCAAAATATAAAAATATAAATCTTAAAAAGGTAAACTTATA